TCTCTGTTTTCAGCCAAGATCCATCTGACATCAGCAGTGAGCTCTCTTATTCCACATCCTCCTCTGAATCCAGCCTGAACCGCTGGCTGCTCCTTGTCAGTGTACTGCTGCAACCATTGTTAGAAGATCTTCGGCAACTATTATTCTAAAGTTACCATGAGTTGGAATCCACTCAGTACAATGGAAGTGGGTTTTTGTTCTCTTCCCGGAATACTGTTGGTGGTGTTTGATGCCATCTGGTTGGTTCCTAGTCACGGTAGCCCTGTGTACCACGGGGTGAAACACTGCCTTTTCTTGTGTCAGCCTCCCAAGGGTGGCTTCGTTGAAGCCTGTCAGTGTAGCCCCCTTGTCAGTCCATCCCGCTGAGGCTCCTCCATGATTCTACCAAGTAGAATGTCTTTTTCCAGGAACTGACCCCTTCTGAGAGGAGCCCTGGTGGAGCAGTTGGTTACACCTTGCCACAGGTCAGCAGTTCAAACCCACTCGCTCCTCGGAGGGAGAAAGTGGAAGCCCCCATCAAGATTTACAGCCTCATAAAACCTCGGGCGCAGTGCCACCCTGCCCTATGAGGTTGCTATGGACCAGAATCAACTAGACGGCAGTGGGGGGGTCCCTCCTGATCATAAGGCCAATGCATATAGAGTTCAAATGCTGACTTCTTAGAAGCATTCTGGTTTTACTACTTCAAAAACGGAGTTGTTTGTTCACCTGGCAGTCCAGGGTCCGTCGATATTCGTTACCAACGCTGCCATTAAAAAAATACCCATTCTTGTCCTGTCTTCTTTATAATTGTCCAGCTTTCCCATGCTGACCAGGCAGTTGAAAACACCATGTCGGCGCAGGAGCGCTTCAGTTCTCAATGATGTCTTTGCTTCAATGAGGTCTTGTGCAGCACATTGGCCCAAGGCAATGGCTGCATTGTCCCGTTTCTTGATTGCAGCTTCTGTGAGTATTGACCGTGGATCTAAGTTCCGTGAAATCACCCCGCCCTGGACTGGCTTCTCCTGACTGGCTAACTCATGGCCATAGGTACTACTGACTCATGGGCAACATGCTGATAAGGGAAACGGATTTATGTTTCTAGTGTTTCTTGTAAAATGACCTAGCTCCGGGCCCAAGGAAGACATTGTAATGCTTGCCTTTATAATTTTTTATATTATTTTAACACCAGGAATTGGATTTGGACACCACAAAACCAATCTCCCTCCCAAACTCACCTGTCCTGTGTTTGCTTTAAAATGTGCAACCATTCATCAGGCCAGGGTATTTGGGGGGAGAGGGGATCTTAGGGGGGTCCTCAGGAGAGGGGCTCTCAGTGGCCCAGGACATCAGCTTGTCACCATCAGATACAGCCTAGAGCCTCCCACCAGATACACTGTCCGTGTGGCCACCACTGCCTTGACCACGCTCTCTGTCTCTCTAGCTCCGAATGTCTCACTGGAGGGGACCTGTGGTCCATCTGTTCTAGCCCGTTTGTTTTTTCCAAGTTTGTTGAAGAAGTATTTCCAGAGCAGGTGATTTGTGGGAACTGCGCTAGGGGAGCAAACAGGCTGTGGGCTCATCTTTGAGGGGAGTCTACAATCTGGTTGGTCTATGATGGAGGGAGTGGGGATGGACAGGAGGCACAGGTGAGACCGTGCAGGAGACACAGCGGCAGGACTCAGAGACCAGGTGGCTGAGTGGTTATTGCCATCCTGAAAAGATAAGGACAAAGGCT